AAAAAAAAAAAAAAAAAAAAAAGATTCAGAACAATAAAGCACCCATTTGCACGAATTCTAATTTCTCTACTTCAGGCTAACTTGATCAGACAGACATAAATAATCTTTTACTTATTGGAATCATTTTGCCCAGGCAGAGGCCATGCGGTATAGCGGGACAGGCACAGGTTTTGGTCAGTACTCAGATTCTAGCTCTGATACGTAATAGCTGTGCATCCTTTATTAAGTTGCTTAAATGGAGTTTCAGGTTTCCTCATCTGTAAAATGATGATTTCACAGGACCTACCTTGCACAGTTTTAAGTTCTGAACACGGCATATAAAAGGGCCTCACAGCACAGTGGCACATGCAGGCCCTCAACAAATGAATGACCAGACCACTGAAAGCAGAGAGCTCACATCAATGAAAACGCACAACTGAAATGACTCAAATACTCCACCTTGCAATGTAGTCTCAGAAGGCACTCCACCGACTTTACGAATTAGAATCATCTGGGGAGTTTTAAAACTGCCAGTGCCCAGGCCACACCCCAGAACAGAACCTCGGGGTGGGACGCAGGGGATTCCACTGTGCAGCCAAGGGTAAGATTCCTGCCTTACAATCCAGCCTTTCTGGGTTTGCTCTCAGAATCCCTGTCTCCTGGCCTGAATGCTGGCCCGAATGCTGGCCCAGAGCCCAGCGGTAGGCCTGGGAGTCATTAGGAAACCTGATGGTGTGTGCTGGGGGTGAGGTTACTCTGGCAGGAACAGTGGTCACAAGCTGCAGGGAAGCTGTTTGGCAAGTAGAACAACAGGCCGAGACAAGAACTTCAGTGCACTAGGAATCAGCCTAGGACCCCAGCCTCAGGGAGCTGACCATCAACAGGAGGCTGGCCGCCATACAGTGAGCTGTGCCCGCCAAGTGAAAAAGAAGGGCGTCAGTGCTGAGCAGGCAAGCATAGTGGGAGCCAAAGACAGAACCACTGCCAGGAGCTGCCGAGCATGTTTCAGGAGGTGGTGGCTTTGAGCTTGGTCCCGAGAGATTCTTGTTAGGTTTGGACAAGCCATGACCTGGGGGCCGAGGATGGAGAACCTGATCCTGCTCCTGGAAGCAGGAGCAATGAAAGCTCAAGTCCGCTGCCAGTTCTCCCCAGGGCTCAGGCAGAGACCTTAATATTCACCGCTGTCGTGCGTGGCGCTAGGATGCAACACTGCACGCAGGATGAAGTCACCGTGGCACTTGAAGCCTGCTGCCCCTCACACTTGTGGGAAGAAATGGTTTAACACACATTTTCCCAGCCACCCAGTTTTCTTTTTTGAGTGGAGAAAGAGTAGAAAAAGGAAAGTTTCCAGGCAGGAAGCCGCTGCACTGTTAACATGGCAGGTGTTAGCACTGTTTCCAATTAACATGCAAGGCTCATCCCAATAGTTTGACTTTATTCAATCAATATAACATGATCTCAGTGCTAAGCCACCTCAAGAGGAAGGGCCAGGTCTCTGGAGGTGGTTTGGGGGCCATTAGCTAATTGTATTTACCTTCTGGGTAGCTTAGACGATGGAGGATTAGAGGAACAGATCAGATCTGATCTGCCTGTCATGAATCTCTCGGGGAACCAGCCAGTCATAGCTGTAAGGACCTTACAGATCTAGTTCCATTTTCTCACATCACAGATGGGGAAACTGAGGCACCAGCAGGGCAGGGGTCGTATCCAAGTCTCCAGTGAGTCAGTGGCAGTCAGGTGTCCTGATTCTTCTCCCCAGACCATCAGGCCAACTTCTCAATGGAGGAAGACAGGCGGGCTGCTTCTCTGGACCAAATGCAGCAAGAGGCCCGTGGTTGGACTGCTGGAGCTGGAAGGGCCTCGGCCACTGGGGAGGCCCCATCCTACACATGGGAAACTCCTCTGAGAGAAGGGAAATGACTCTCCTGAGGGCCAAGATGACAACTTGGCTCCTTCTAGCCACTACCTCCGAATAGAATATAAAAGGAATGATATGCGGCAGCAGGGCCAGCCAGACAAAGGGATCAAGATAATGACTTTAAATACAAATAGTCCGAATAGATGACTGGATAACAACTGGTTTTCCTAACATGGTCTCACCTTCCATTAGCTCCCCTCTTTCTGGGGAGACCTGCTCTGGAAAGCAGTATAAGAAAGGCAGCATTAGAATGAATGCCGAGACTGTGAGATACAGTGGGAGGGGTCCAGGGGGCGTTTAGACAACCTGCACTTGGCTCAGTAATTCCAGGACTCCCTCTCTGGTAAGGAAGACCACCTCTCCGGTGTTCTGGCACCAAACCTCAAATTGTGCAGGGTCGTCCAGGGCCCTCTTGCCCGCAATGATCACAAATGGGTAGCCGAACTTGTTGGCGTCTTTCAGTCTGTTTCCAATGGTCAGATGGGTCCTATCATCCAGCAGGACCTCCCCTCGGAGTTGCGGCACCGCTTCTGTGATGTGGTCATACAGGTGTCCCGTGAGCTCTGCGGCCGCCTCCTCCTTACTGCCCTTCTTGGGGGAAACGAGGCAGACTTGGTAAGGGGCCAGGAGGCCAGGCCAGCGGATGCAGTCTTCTGTAGCGAGAGCTTCAATGACAGCGGCCAAGATCCGCGTCACACCCAAGCCATAACACCCCATTTCCGCCAGGGATGGCTTGCCGTGGACATTGGTGAACTGGGCACTGAAAATGGAGGAGTACTTGGTGCCCAGGTAAAACGTGTGCCCGACCTCGATGCCTTTGGTTTTGGTCAGTGGCCCCTGGCAAGCAGGGCAGTTTGTCTGTGACAAGTCCAGAGTCTCCATGTTGGCCGAAAAGCCGCAGCCGGGACAGACTGCAAGCCGGTCCTCTCCGACGTCCACCAGCAGCTGGAACTCGTGAGACGTCGTGCCCCCGATGCTGCCCACGTCTGCCTGGACCTTGACGCACTGCAGCCCCAGCCTGTCAAACAGGCTGCTGTAGGCATCACACACCAGGCTGTAGGTCTGCTGGGCGGCCTCAGGGGAGGAGTCAAAGGTGTACATGTCCTTCATGTAGAACTCTCGGCCTCGGAGAAGACCAAAGCGGGGCCTGGGCTCATCCCGAAACTTCCTCGTCACCTGGTACAGCAGGAGCGGGAGCTGCTTGTAGGACAGTGTCTGCTGGGAGGCAATCAGGGCTGTAATGGCTTCCTCGTGAGTTGGTCCTAAGCAGTACTCCTTGCCGTGTCTGTCTCTAAGTTTTAGCAGCTCCTTGCCCATCGAGTCCCAGCGGCTGGTGGCTCGCCAGAGCTCTGCTGGGCTGAGGCTGGGCATGTTGACCTTCTGTCCCCCGATGGCCTGCATCTCCTGGTCTATCACCCGCACAAGCTTCTCCATGGCACGGACAGTATAAGGCAGGAGGTGGTAACAGCCGGAGCTTGCCGGGTGAATCAGGCCCACCTGCAGCATCAGCCGCTGGCTCTTACAGGTCAGCTCGCCAGATCTGCCCTCTAGAGAGAGCACCTGGTCTTCCCGAAGGTTCTGGGGCTGGAACATGCGGGACAGCACCAAGCGCTTCCCTCTCCCTGGGGCACGGTGGTGAAACCTGTGAGGAACGTACCCCGAGAGCTGGTGACTGCTTGTGGCCAAGGCAGGCAGTGCTCTGCATCTTGTCAGCAGCCCTTCCATCACACCCCAGCGTAAGGAGGCACTTGCGCCTGAAGAAAAACGAGCCGAGCAGAAATAGGTGTTAACTGTGATCCAACACCCTGCAGTAGTCAACGCAGGCTGGCCTCCAACAAACTCCTACAACCACCACCGATCCTGTGGATGCAAATCCTTTCTTTTCTAATATCCTAGCAGATCAAAGTACTATTGTACTTCTCTCACCATTTACTGCCGTTAAAAAAAAAAATCAATATTTTCCCGTTTATGGGACTTCCCTCGTGGCACAGTGGTTAAGAATCCGCCTGCCAATACAGGGGACACAGGTTCGAGCCCAGGTCTGGGAAGACCCCACATGCCACAGAGCAACTAAGCCCGTGCGCCACAACTACTGAGCCTGCGCTCTAGAGCCCATGAGCCACAACTACTGAAGCCCATGCACTCTAGGGGCTGTGTGCTGCAACTACTGAGCCCACGTGTTGCAACTACTGAAGCCCATGCGCCTAGAGCCCGTGCTCCACAACGAGAAGCCACCGCAATGAGAAGCCAGTGCACCACAACGAATACTAGCCCCCGCTCGCCGCAACTAGAGAAAGCCCGCGTGCAGCAACAAAGACCCAATGCAGCCAAAAATTTTTTAAAAATTAAATTAAAAAAATATATATATATTGGGGCTTCCCTGGTGGCACAGTGGTTGAGAATCTGCCTGCTGATGCAGGGGACACTGGTTCGTGCCCCAGTCCGGGAAGATCCCACATGCTGCGGAGCAGCTGGGCCTGTGAGCCATGGCCGCTGAGCCTGTGCGTCCGGAGCCTGTGCTCTGTAACGGGAGAGGCCACAACAGTGAGAGGGCCGTGTACC